ATCTCACATTGCCTGAGAGTCACTAAATTTAAGTAACTGCAAACGCTCAGATATGAACAATGAAATGAAACTTAAGATTCCACCCGATCAAACTAGAAAGAGACACACTATGAGACAGAGAAAGAGGCTCAAAAATCAGATCAGAGTCTTGAGGCTATTAATTAAATAAAAATATGACTCATGGACTCGTGGAGCTTACGTACTTGTCGCCTTTAAAGCAGATGATGCCCTGCTGTCCATAAAACTGTGAATCGTTGTAGCCCCAGCCGTACCACTTGAGCGCCTCCTGGCTAGAGTGAGCAGAAACAGAAGAATTAGAATGACAGCGGCAAATAGATGACAAACAAACATACATACATATGTATATATGCATGCATGTATGTACGTTTCTATGTACACTCACCGCTTCTTGGGTATTACGCTCTCCACGTGGCGTGAGAGCCGTGTGTCCAGTGCCAGGGACGTGCCCTCCGGCGGGGTCTCCGGTATTTGTGTGGTTACCGTATTACGCTTGGCTGCCATCTCGCTGTGATGTGGTCTAAGGGATTGCTTGATTGTGCGATTTGTATTTGTTTATTTGGCTGAGAGACACTTTTAGCTAGTAATACGAAATTATTGCACAGCCCGCTCGTTGTCAACTCGTCGCTGAACGCAAAAATCGATAATTTGTTTTGATTTGAGGAAAACACTTGGCCTGCTATGTAAACGCAGCTGAGGTGCGGCCAGACTCACAATAAATTTGCTATCGATGGGTTAACTAATATGAGTTTAGTTAATACAATACTCTAGTGCTAATATTTGCCTGTACTTTGCAATTGACTAAAAACTAAATTAAAATAGAAATTCCACTAAAAAAGAAAGCACTCTGCGGCAGCTGCTGCACGCGCTTTGGTTTCGGTATCTCGACCACGACTGTCATTCCCAATAAGAGAGCAAGAGTGAGAGAGAGAGAGGGAGATGGAGAGAGCAATGCCAGCGACGCCAGTGAGCGAGCCACAGCTAAAGAGAGAGCCGCCCCCAGGGCGAGCGCATTGCCTGGGGGATGGGGCAGAGCGAATCGGTTATCGAAACGGTTGCGTTTAAAT